ATAAGCATATAACTTAGAACATAAGCATATAACTTAGATAGAATATAAGCATATAGTTTAGTACATAACTTATAAATTAGAACATGTAGTTAGAACATAAGCATATAATTTTAAAATTTTAAAGTCTTACTTATTATCTCCTTGAGCAAAAGCATACTCAGCTACCTTTCTGTTATCCACATTCTTGAAAAGTTTTTCATGTTCAACCATGAAAGGTGAACGCAAGTACATCGGAAGCTTATCCTTTCCTCTTTTTTTCCTTGTCTTTTCTTTTCCTTTTTCTTCTCCTTGCTTCCTACTGAACTCAATTAAAAAAATATCACATAGATAACAAGAGAACATATATATATATATTAGGAAAGTGAATCACAATCAAATAATTTGATGATATATATATATATATATATATATATATATATATAAAGTAAAAAAAAAAAAAGGAGAAATTAGTTTTGGAGGGAAAATACAGCACTAGGAAGTGACACGTGTCATTCCTGGTGTCTGTTTTAGTATTATGTTATTGGTTAATATACTAGATTATCCTTGTGCGATGCACGATTAGAATTTTTTTTTTATTTTACAATTTATGTTCTGTTGCATTACATTGTATAAAAAGATTAGATTTAGATATTAAAATAATTTACAGTTAAGAATATAAATGAACCACATTATATACAAATTACAATTAATAATTAAAATAGTCAAAAGAAAATGATTTAAGGACACATATTAATAAAATATGAAGAAAAGGTGGAGTTTAAACAATGATTGACATTAGTTCAATATTGATAATAAACATAATAGTAAAACCCTAAAATTTTCTCTATTCTCTCTCTTCAAACCTACCCACCATAGTAAAACTTAGGGGTTATCATTGATTTTAATCGATGGTAAGCCCCAAATTCTTCTTTAAATTAATGTTTTTAGCCAATAAAGATCACCAATAGTAAAGTGATTATAGTCAATCCCTCCTTGTAGGGTTTAGTATTTTTTGTTTCTTTATTTTTAGTGTGTGCAGTGATACAAATTTAAAAGATTCGTCTTGCAAATTTGTGATATTGCGGATCTGTTGGTATAGGGGTGCAGTTTTAGAAGATTCGTCTTGCAAATTTGTAGATCTTGATGACCAATCAAGTTTTATCACTTTTGCGACTATACATCAATGGAGCTTTGTCAAGAACGATGCAAAAACATCTAAAATTATCTAGGAGCAGTTCAGAGACGATGCCATTAGTTTAGGGGTGTTTAATTTTTTGTATTGAGAATTTAGATCTCTTAAAAGATAATTGTAAGTGCCGAATGACTATTGTTATTTAATGAAATCACCCCTCCCTATTCCATTAAAAAAAAAACAATGATAACATTAACAATGAGCCGAATGTATTTAACAAACAAATTATATTGGCATTATCCAAGTCAAGTAATATGTATAAAGTGTAGATAAAAAATTACCACAAAAAATAAATAATAATAAATAAAAAATTAACATTGTTGACATCATAGATTAAATTGGGGGGAAAATTTTCACTAAGAAAACGACACGTAGAATAGTATAGGATAGATGTTGTCAGCAATATTTTGTTTTAGTATTAGTTAATAGATAATTTTAAAACAAAGTTACCATGATTAAAAAAAAATTTGACGCTTTAAGTTAATGCATATTACCAATAAATAAATACAGTAGTAAACTTCTAATAATAAATAAAAGGAAAAATTGCTTTAAATAATATCACTTTTCACCCGTCCGCTAAAAACAAGTCGACCTTTTAATTATCTCTAAATAATACCACCTTTACCTAGTATCCGCTTTAAACAAGTTGTAACCTGATTAATAGGTTATATGGACACGTGTCATGATATTATTGGTCTGAAAATATAATTTTTTTAATTAAAAAAATTAATAAAAAATCCCAATCCCGTAATTCCCCTCCCTTTCCCGTTCCCTTTCCCCTTTCTCGTTCTGTCATCCCTTCCATCCCCGTTCCCATTCTGCCATCCCCTTCCCTCCCACCACAGCTAGCCCCCTCCCCGCCCCTTGCCCCGTCGGCCACCGCTAATACCTCCCCCACCACCGAAATCACCACCCCTCCCACCCCCACACCGAAATCACCATCCCCACCACCTTCACCCCCGAAACCCCCACCGAATCCACCACCCCCACCGCTGAAATCCTCACCAAAATTCCTACCCCCGCCTTCCTCACCACCGAAACTACCATTACATCACATCCCCACCACCAAACCACCACTCCATTTGGTCCGGCAGACCCCCCTACCATACTCCCTCACCTGGACTCCAGCACTTCATCTTCACAAAACAAAAAGCTATAATTTTATCACGAACAACAACAATAAGATTCATATCCATTAATCAATTTGCACAAATGACAAACCAACATTCTCCAATTTAAAAAAAAAAAAAATTAAAAGTAATCTGTATTGATGAAAGTTAACGGGAAAGGAGTTTGGGGCAAGGGTTGTTGTTTGTCATAGACTCATAGGGAAGGGGTTATGGGTGGGGGTTGTTCGTCGTCGGGAAATGGGGTAAGGGGTTGGGGCTTCTGTTCGTCGACGGAAAGAGGTTAGATGTGGGGGTTGTTGTTCGTTGATATGGAAAAAGAATGGGACTTTGCCGGCGGGGAAGGAAGTGAGGTTGACAAGGCAGGGGGAGGATGGAGCTCCGGCAGAATGGGGGCTCGGCAAGGGGAGGGGGAAGCTCCGGCAGGGAGGTAATTTTATTTTTTGAAAGATCCGGCAGGAAGGTGATTGGGGAAGAGGGAAGAAGAGGTATTGTTAATCATAATTAAAGTTTTAATTAAGAGATAATTAAAGTGTTAAAACGAAATTGTTAACCGGTCAATTAGGTTGCAAGTTAAATAACTTGTTTAAAGCGGATACTAGGTAAAGGTGGTATTATTTAGAGATACTCAAAAAGTCAACTTGTTTTAGCGGACGGGTGAAAGGTGGTATTATTTAAAGCAATTTTTCCTAAAAAAAAAAAGGAAAACTTATATAAAGTGAGCTACTCGATTCAACTTGAAACTTTAACAAGCACAAAAGTTAAGTAAGGTACTAATGAGTTTAGCGAGTAGCAGGCAAGAGTTGAGCATATGTACTAGTAAAAAGTTTTTGAGTCGAGTCATACACCCCTCAGCTCGTGATCGACTTGCTCAATTAGCACTCGCAGCTATTACTCTGTTACTTGTAGAGTTGTAGCAAATTAACCCCATAATTTTTTATAATTGTGCAATCAAAACCTATACATCAAATTTAAGCAAAACCACAATTTTATAAAAAAAATATTTGAAAAAAAAAATTGAAAAATAAAAAATAAATATTACATCGAACTCATACATTATCATACATATTAAATACATACTCCCTCCTGAGGTAGCCCTTGCTCAACTCTTGCTTGTTACAGTTTTGAGTTGATTACGAATTATATCTAATATTAATACTTCGTATTTGTTTATCCTATTTGACTTTTTATGCTTTTAAAAATTATGTGAGTAATTATTAAAATTTGATATTAGTAGAATAGACATTGTGATGAATACAATACAATTTCAATTGACTATATTATTTCATATAAATTAGTAAGAATTTGAGGTCAAAATTTTTTAAGTTTGATCCCAAAAATTACAATAAGACAAACAAATAGGGATATAAAAATTACTTATTACCTTTCTATACTTACTATATACTAAAGTAATCATCAGAGTTATCCCTATAGTACACATGTCGCGTCCACAATAAAAATTTACCAGCCCAAAAACTTTTTATTTATTTCCTTACAAAAATAACATGATAAAAAAATTATTGAATAAAAACTACCGTGATTTGTAAAAATATTTTAAATTATCTATAGTAATATATAAAGTGAAAGGGGGTTTTGAATGATAAATTTTACTTTTCCAAAGTACCCCTCTCATCTTTTATTCCATCCTTTTTTTCTTAATATAAGTACCATCTTTTCAAAAAAAGAAAAAAAAAAACTACCATCTTTTTTCAAATTTTTTTTAGGAAAGTCATGTCCTACTGTTAGCCTCCATGACTTCATCAATTTTTAAACTCACTATTTCTATTAGAATAAATTAGATAATATTTCATGAAAAAAAGACAGAGAACCAAACCATATAGATTTCTTCTATTGCTGCACACGCAATGTGTGTGTCTCTCTTAGCTTGTATATTTAAAACAAGAAAGTTCTAAGGGTAAACATTAAATAAATTCAAAAGAAAAAGAAAAAAAAATCATATAAGTCATTTCATTTTTTTTAACAAAATATACTTTTAATATTACAAGTCTTATAATTATAAATTCGTGCATTGCACGGAGGCAAAAACTAGTTGTCTTACTAAGGCTATGTTTGGTTCATTTAATTTTGTCTGAAACTAATTTATCTAAACTAATACTATTTTATTTGTATCTATTTTATGCTTAAAATCATTTATTCATTTAATGAGAAAAAAAAAATTAATTCACTTTTATGCAAATATTTAATAAAAAATAGAAATTACCATTTCATACAATTTGAAGAAAATAGTATGCACTATTTCATACAAATTGAACAAAATAGTATTTATTGTTTCCCACAAATTGTATGAAATAGTGCACACTGTATCCTCCCAGTTATATGAAATCATATGATTGAATAAATCGATTCCTAATTACTTGTGCAAAGTTTTTTCTATATATTATGTTTTGTAAATTCAATTTTATTGATGTTGATTAAATTTCAGTAATTGATTAATTAATAACAATGAAAGAGAGAAACATGAAAAGGGAAAAGAAAGAGAAAAGGGGTAATATTGGGCTTTTGAAAGGGTACGTGAAGTAAAGAGAGGTTACGCAAGTTTATGAATCACACAATCAATAGAATATAAAGTTATCGAATTATGAGACCAGTTTGTTGAATCTTTGGTTAATTCAGTCAGTGTCGGTCTCTATAATTGGTTTTCTGTATTTGGAGAAGTTTTAAGGGAAAAATACCATCAAACATCCCTTAAAATTCAGCTTGCAATATCGAGACAAGAAAGAACGTATAAATATACATCAGCGAAAATGAAAAATACAACACGGATTTACAATAGAACCGGAAACTTTATGCACAATAAAGAATTGCCGATATCTTCATTACCAAGAACCAAATATTCACACTTAACCAATTATTACCTTTCCTTTTTATCTTTCAGGAACAAATCTACAGAGCATGTCCAATAGCTCAGTAAGAAATTAACCCAAATAAACAGAAATAGTGCTCTCTTTTGTTAATATGTTCCCTTCTATCTGGTCTGGCCTGCCTTTGTTACAATCATTGGGAGTATACAGCCACAACATAACTAGGTTATGTTTACCGTGTGCTTTTGAAGAAATTTCGATCCCATCTACGGAAAAACCCATCCATGATACTACTTCCTGAAGAATTTTTTTCAACAGTCAGTGTGGCTTTTGTACCATCACTAGATTCCCTGCCAGATGACTCCGCATCTTGAGCAGGTGTATTATTTGCTTTCTCCGTTTCAGACCTTTCTGTACATGGGATTCTGGAAGAATGGTCTAGATGACGTTCAGATGCAGTGCTCTGAGATGCCAGGGGTTCACTATTTGTTAATGAAAGGAAAGTTGAATCTGACTTAGATGGTCCACAACATTCTTTATCTGTGAGAGTATTTGGTTTGGGATTTTCTTGGTTAGATTCAATGACATTGGAGTCAGCACAGGGGGGAGGCTTTTCCGGTGGTTGACTCATGCCCATGTCCTTCAAAGACTCAACTATGGCTTCCATGACCATCTATTCATGCAGTAAACAAGTAAATTAATGCAGCAATATGAAGACTTTAACAGAATGTTTAGATTAGTAACTTGACTCACCCTTTCTTCTTCCTCCATATCACGGGGGAATTCTGCCATGTTGTCAAGGGAGTATTCTACATATTGATCATCGTCAATGGCAATTGGAACATGAGGACCAAAGGGTTGACCATTGGCTAATTCAAAGCTGATCATTCCGGAACTTGAGGAAAATGACTCGGTTCCAGCTGCCTCTTCCTGGAGCAAAGCATGAATTAAGATTTTTGACAAAAATGGGAAATAAGTAAAAGCTCTAAAATACAAATAACTTTAGCAAGAGAAATAGTTATGGTAATGGCCAGAGTTTTAAAAAGGAAAAAAATAATAATAATAATAATAATAATAATATAGCCTTGAAGCGTAGCTGCATTAGATGGTGAATAATAGCAGGGATTTTTAGCTGAACAGGATCAGCTGGTAGGGAAAGGTATACATTGACTGATGAAAAGCCTGAGAGAGAGAGAGAGAGAGAGAGAGAGAGAGAGAGAATGAAAAGCCTGAGAGAGAGAGAGAGAGACCTAACTAATACTTCCATTAGATATCTAATTTCCCTCCCTTTCCCTTTGTACCATCCCCTTCATCTTTTCTCTCCCTGGACTCTTTTTTACTCCTGGTGCTTCATCAACAATACTTACTTAAACAATAATAAATATAATCGTCATGAAGAAAAAGGCAGCTCTAAACATGCAGCAGCGCAACGAGGAAAACAAAGGAAATTTTTTAATCAATGATTTGAAGTAGTCTCGCTCTCCCACAAATAATTCCAGGCTGCAAAGTTGCAACTGCACCAAAGCAATCCCAAATTTTGAGGGTCTCTCGGACAATTTTTCAATAAGAACAGTAAAATCTTCCATCAAAGAAATTATATTTTATCAACTAGAATAACATTACATTATGAATCAATATATAAAATTGATAAATTATACACCCTCCAATTCATAGTGATGTTGCAAGGTGATTTTGGGGGAGAATCCAACATAATTCCCATATGTAACTGTCTCTTCTAGAATCTTCGAAACTTAATGTGCTATTCTGTCTCTTTTATAAAAACTGGAAGTGGCCTCATGAGTAGCAGATATGAGGACATGTTGGGTATTAAATTATTCTTTATGGGTAAATAGGGGAATAAAATTTGCTAAATTAACAGATTCAACAGAAACATCTTTATGAATCACCCCAAAGGAAAGCAGGAAGGCAGGAACGTACTATATACTATACAGAGTGAGTACTATACAAACTTAAAAATAAAACCTTTGTCCATCCATCCCTATCACCTGCCTTTACCACCTATACAACCATGTTAAGTACCCCCACCCACTTACCATCTGTCTTGCTTCATCTTCCAAATCCTCTGCTTCCTGGCCCTAACCACCCCCCCCCCCCTTTTTTCCCCAATTTGAGTGGGTTATTCCGTTATTGGACTGAGGAGGCTTTAATAGATGGATTGAAAATACTTTTATCATGAACTTAAGTAAATCTGATGTTTGTCATAGACTTGTAGGTATTTAGAGAACTATTTTCCCTCACAATTACAGATTTTAAGTTCGTTGCAAATTTGAAGTGTAACTTAATAGGTAAGGTAAGTTTTTACCCCGTAGTTTATAATAGATGGATTTCATGATCAATTAACATGTTTTAGTTTGGTGGGTAGGGATGTGGAAAATTTTTATGGTGGTACACATAATGTGAAGAAGGAGAGACGAAAGAAGGTTTACTATTACAAAGTGTTACTTCTAGTTTTACAAGGTAAATTTTATAAGCATACTAGAAGGACGCCAGAAAAATTAAAACCTCCCTGTCTAAAAAGAGGGGAGAGGGGGGGGAGGGGTGTTCTGAAAACTGAACTAATGCCTACAACAAACTGGCAGATATTGAGGAAACAGGGCACATTCAAATATAAAGCACATACTTCGTATAACAATTTTTTTTTTTTTTTTTTTTAATTTGATAGGATGGTAAAGCCGTTCAAATAACTTGACGATAACACCTTTGAAAAACCTGATATCAAAAGTTGATAGGCAGAAAAGATTATCCTATCTGGTTAACCTAATTAGTCCACCTCATAAGTTGATTCATTTTTTTATTTACTTGTTACAAGCATAATATGTGAGATACAATTTCACAACTTATTTTCTAGTCTCCCAAACTCTTTCCTACAAATGCCTGATTTAGTTCTCACGTTTTGAGGAATAATAAAACTAAAATCAGTAGCCACGTTTTTTCCTAGTTCCCTTAAAAGAACCCTACTTATGATCTTTTCATTTTACGTTACCAACATGAAGACATCTGTTTGTGACTGACCATCAACAAGAATTGATAAGAAGGTAAGTAGAGCTTTTTTTTTTTGGAGTGAAGTATTTGTTTTGCTTGTTTTGGGCATTATTGATACAATTTTGAAGTTTGTAGATGGAATAAAAATTTGTTTAAGGTAATATTTGGATATCTATATTTTGAATCCAATTCCAGAGTTTAGATCTAGAATTTCAGTTCCATATATATCTGGAATTCCATCCCCTTGTATTTCTCTTTACGTGAACTATGCTTCACATCATCTTCGTCATAACACCATAGATTCATAGTGTGACACCGTGACAGATTGATGTTTTCTAAGGATATGACAATAATGACAATATTAAAGGTAAAATATATGATAATGATGGAAGATAATAAAGAGGATGGAGAGAAAAGGAGACAGGGGGTGGTAAGTTAGGGTGTGGGCTGGTAATTACAAAGGGTGAGGTTATTATAAGTCATTTCAAAACTTTTTAATTTTGGGCCCTTTTAAGAACATTCATTGAATTGGACCAATTTCAAATTTAAAATTCTTTGGGTATCCAAACAATAGATTTACCCAATTCAAGAGATTCGGATGAAATCCTAGTATCCAAATATTTCATATACTACCTCCGTTAACTATTATTTGCAACAATTGTACCTTTCACGGAGGCCAAGGCAAAAGTTTTTAAGCATGATTATTAAAAAATAAGGGCATGTACTTAAACACTAATCCAATAAAAAAAAAAAAAAAAATTATCAGAACCACATAAACCCACCACATAAACCCATAATCACCACCACCACCGACCCCACTGTAAACCACCACCACCGAGCCCACCGTAAACCACCACCGCCACCGAACCCACCGTAAACCACCACCACCGAACCCACCGTAAACCACCACGAATCAGATCTGAACTCCTACAACCACCCCACCACGAACCCAGCCACGCAAACTCCACCACGAACCCAACCACGCAGCCACCACCACGAACCCAGCCACGCAGCCACCACCACAAACCAGACCCACGCCACCCCACGAAACCAAACCCATGAACCAGACCCACCCCCATGAAACCAAACCCACGAACCAGACCCACCCCCACGAAACCAAACCACGAACCAGACGCCACCCCCACGAAACCAGACCCACCCAGCCACCACCACGAACCAGACCCACGCCACCCCACGAAACCAAACCCAAGAACCAGGCGAACCCAGCCACCACCACGAAACTAGCCACGCCACCCCCACGAAACTCACGCCACCCCTAAAACTAGATCTGAAACCCCTAACACCCCCACGAACCAGAAAATTTGTTTATCTTGATGAGATCGTCGAGGGACATGTTCAATCGATTTTCCATTGCCATTGAAAGATGTGGTGAAGAAGAAGAAGAAAATGTAGAGGAGAGAGAAAATTGAAGGAGGAAGAAAATTGGGGAAAACCACAGAGAGAAAGTGGGAAGATGAATGATTTTTGGTGAAAATGATTACAATAATCAGATTTATTAGGTAAAAAGTTAAACTAGGTTAGTGATCTAATTAGATGTCTAAGTTGTTTAAGTAAGGGTAATATGGGCATTTTGTTGGCAAAATGTTACTAAAAAAGGAAATAAAAAAGTTTGTTGCAAATGATAGGAAGCGCCTAATTTTAGTAAATGTTGCAAATAATAGTTGACGGAGGTAGTATTATAAATTTGGTGGATAGTCTGGAGGACCAGAAAATAGATTGTGAAAATTGTATTTCACTTACCATGCTTTCAAATATTAAGAAAATGAATCAGCTTAATGAGGTGGACCAATGAGGTTTAATGGTACATGGAAGAGTATAAAATGCACCAAAAGATGGTTATCTTACACTAAAGATACTAATTTTACCATATTCATTGATCATAGCTATCTTAATATTTCATCGAACATGAGTGAATGGTGGTTGATGTTCCTGTTCGAAGTTCAATGTTTCATCAAGAAAAGTACAGCTTGTTCAGGGGAATACAAAGTTCTTTTCCACATAACACAATGAGAACTCACCTCCCCTGCCCCAAAATTCTCAACAGCTGTCTTAGGTTACGCTCCAGAATGAAACTACAGCAAATGCAAGAAACAACTACAACTATAAGGTGCAGCCAAAATAAATCAATATACCTTTGCTTCAGATTGTTCATCTCCAGCAGCCATTGTTGGGGGTACCTAAGAACATTCAGATTAGAAATAAAATCAACCATATATGATGCATAGACAAATTTATTACAAAGATAAAGCCTCAGCAATGCTTTAGTGATGTTCCATTACTGTGAAACACATGTTTCACACTGAACTATGTTTTTCGCCCATTCAAAGAATCAAAGCACAGGCTGAATATCAAAATACAAGTGATGTGGTGAAATAATGGGTCAACAATTAAAATCTTCATCAGATATTCTTATTTGCGGTTAAAAATCAAGGTTTGAATGACTGAAGGTAAGAGTATGAGAAGAGGAGGGGTTGTATTGGGTTTTATCTGAAATTTAAAAATTATAATACTAATTGGGAGGAGGTGATAGGATGGGGACAAGTAATGTGTCAAATTCTTGTTTAAATAGAGATATGCAAAAAACACCAACTGGATGTCCATCTTTATATCAGCTGTTACTCAATTAAACACGAGAGGTATCTATCAAAACTAACCTCCATTCGGCTCATGGGTCGTTTAGATCTGAGCTGCTTAATAGCATCTCCAGTGCTACTCCTGGCAGGTTCTACATAAACAAAAGATATAGAAATAAATTACAGAACAATTAGCATTTAAGAGATCAAAAGTTTAGCACCCATTTTAAATAAAGAATATAAGCTACTACAGGCATGCCTCTAGATCCACCTGAGGAATTGCTACCAGCGAATCCCAGTCCATGCAATGCATTCCAAGTAGCCTGAAGATTATTAAGCCATTTAAGTTGGTATCAAAACTAATATAAATCCATATACTTACTGGTATTGATTTAAATCTACCTTGTCAATGTATTCATGCACTGGATCAAATAACCTTGCCGGAACATCATCCTCTGGAGGTTGCAAAACATTATTGAAAAATATACTTATGGAATCAAAGTAAAACTGAGGCCGTGGAGAGTTGTGATCACCCTCAAATTTGATAAAATTCTTGTCTCCCTGTCAGGTTTGATGAAGAATGATGTCAAAAATAGCTCTAATTAAGAAATAGATAGTACAAGTGCATGCTTATCCTATGGCAGAAAATCTTAAGACTATCGTAAGGTTCATAACATCCCTTAAGTCCGGCCACCATAACTGATACACCCTTAGGGTAAACTTTCAATATATACGTACATTAGATGATCCCTTGACAGGATTGATAAGCACAGAAATATATGTACAAGTGTACAACTATATTTTAGGCTGGAATGGTAGCAGGCAAACGATAGCTGATCTATAATTATATCCTAACATGAATAGTTTAAATCTCCTTACCAATTTAAAGAACAAGAATGAAGACTGAAGTTACAATAAAATCAGATGTCAACATTTTATCCTGCTAGCAAGTAACAAGAGAACAAGAGATATTTTTCTATTCTAGTATATTGGTTGTTCCAACTTCAAAGCTTTTAACATTCAGATGATCCTACAACTTTCTAAGTAACTTCATGATTTGCCGAGTAGAAACCAGAAATTTTTTAGGGACTACGTAGAATATTGCATACAGCAGAATATCATGCATAGTTAGCCTAGGAACAAAAACCAATGAGGATATCTGATATTGAGGAGCAAAAAGGGTTTACTTGTTCAGTGCTCAAATCAAGATGTGACAAAAAATCTATATACTTCCTCCGTTCTATTATTATTGCACCATAGAGGTTCGGCACACTTTTTTTGGTAGTGGGAAAAAGGAAGAGAGAGAGGGGTAAAAATACAAAATTATCTATGTGATGTAAATATAAACTAAAGAATCAAGTGTTAAAGATAGGGGTATATTGGGTATTTGCACTGTGAACACAAATATTTTGTTTCCTAAAATGGATATGGTGCAATATTTGTGAAACTTCCTTAAAAGGCAAATGGTGCAATATTTAAAAAATGGAGGAAGTACAAGTTTATCCAAACAAATATTGCTCATGTTGCTAATTGGCAAATTAAAGAAAAAGCATGAAGAACATAAGCTTTTAATGAACTATTGAATATAGTATCAAATCAAAACCAAGCTATATCTTAGGAAGTTCAGGTGTTTTGAATTTGATAGTAATTTCAAAAAGATAATCTTTGGATAGCCTAGACAGGATATTAAGAGGATTTGAATTAAGATAATTAGATATAGGTGCCAATCCAAGTAAGTCTAACATCTGAGAATGTGAGACACAAAGGTCAAGATATTGATTATTTTGTTTGTTCCACATGTAGTTTTTGCCAGCTAGGAAACTAGGACACTACACATATGGCAACATTACAGGGTAATCGAATATCTGGCAGCATCAAAAAGATGTCAAGGAGCAAATACTTCACCCAAAAATAATAGTGTCACCAACTTAGCCAAACAAAAAATAAATAAATAAACATTCAACAATCTACAGTTAAAGACTTGAAGTTTTCTCAGAAAATTTGCCTGATTTGACACAAATCCTTAATTGCATATTTGCATCTAGTAGCCAGATATGCATGTCATCACATACACTTCCCTCCTAAGAGTCCCAGTAACTCAGTGCTTCCTAGATTTATACATTATAAAATTAGAAAGTAAATTCCAGCTAAGCTGTAAAGCTAGGATAATAGAAGTGCTGACCCAACAAATGACAATAAAAAAAAATAGGCTTACAGATACACTGTACAAATTTTTTATTCACAATTATCTAAAGCACAAAACTGTCGTCACATAGAAAACTTCAACTGTATCACATATTCACATGCATAAGTGTTTCAACTGAACCGAAACAAAGAGTAAGAGATACATATTTACGATGAAGTATATAAGAAGTTATCATAGTAATAAAAAATCGATTATGAACCATCAATGGTTTTAGATTGTTTCTTTCTTTAAAGAGGAGAAAAACATTAAACTCACCATGTAAACATCATGTATGCGTTCAGAATGGTGAGGCTGTATAAAATCATCGTCAATTGCATGGCCAAACAACACCGGAACAAAGGAAGACTTTGCAACCTATCAGAATCAATCATAACAGCACCAAAGTCAAGAGTTTCTTCTACTAAGACATCTAAATTATAATGCAGGAACCAAAACTACAGAAAATGTCCTCCAACACCTCATGAATCAACCTCCCTTTCTATAACCAGATAGAGACCTAGCAATGATTTTTTGACAACTGGCATAGAAAGTAATTTAACATAATGCAACAAAGACCTACCTTCATGCAAGACACGTGAACGTTTCCAAAGAATACATACACAAAAATCTATTAGGCAGTGTAGCAGCTTTTTCTTGATAATAAGGTTATTCATTCAAATGAAGTATTTTGAGTGAATTATTAAGCAGTGTAAGAGACTAAGTGACTAACACCACAGTAGATTTTGTATTAATTAGAAAGAAAGAATTTGCATTTAGATCGCAGGAAAAAAAAAAAAAAAAAAAAAAAAAAAAGAAGTTGAACAAAAAAGTCTAATTGCAACAAATTTGTGATGTAATGAAAGGACATTGAACCTTAATGGTGTTCAGGTCCATAATGTCAAATTTTGCTTTCTTCATGATTGCTCTTCGCATGTATTGGATGGCAAATTTTACCTATTAGAGAAAAAAATTAAAAAATATAAATGTTAATGTCAATCTAAGAAATTACAATAATTTGAGACAGTAATAGAGCAGTATTGATAATAATCATCAGTTCGTCACATACAGGCATAAATTTATCATTTGATTATGAAAATGTATTTTTTAAAGTGGCAGCATTAGACTTCAATAGTCACAAATACTCTATGCACACATACTTCAAAAGTTCAAAGTTTGACATTAAGTTAACATTTGGCAGAATCAGTTAAGTACATTCTGAGTAATAGTTCCTTTGATAGCAACTGTTGATGAAAAATGTATATGCTACATAGTGAAGCATAAATTTTAAATTTCTTACATCAAACATTTCATAATGGATCTTGTTCACTGACTTTCAAAAAGTCTCCAATCCCTCAAATGTTTGGAATCTTTCTTTTATTTATTATTATTATTATTATTTTTTTCTTTGAACAAATCAGAACATCTTCATCGCCAATTTACAATTACAAGGCAACTATAAAGAAGGAACTTCTTGCAACTCATTCCAGATATCACTCACAGTAAATTTAGGAAGTCGGACTTTATAGGTATCCACAAGCTCCATCATCAAGTCAACCAAGTCTGAGAAGGGGCTGTCAAGAACCATTCCAGCAATTGAAGGATCCTCGGCTCCATACATTAAGCTACATGAACAGTGCATACCGTTAGATAAAGCAACCAGCAAAACATTGACAATTTTTAAATTAAAACAGGACAGCAACAGAAAAGGCTTCATCTAAAGCAGAATCTTCAAGCAAGTCCAGGTAGGAACTAGATATAATACTGAGGAAATTAAATAACAAGATACACCAAGGAACCTTGTAACTGCGCCCATGGAACGGCCCCACAAGCCAATCATAGATACATTCCCATCTGATCGTAAATAATCCACGACAGCTTTCAGGTCATCTTTCTGCAATACACAGACGAAAATATTCAGAATAATAAAATAAAATACCTTCTAATCCAAACCTTTAAAGAATATATAAAATAAAAATAGCAACCAGTAAAAAATAACTTTTTTTGCCATAGAAAAACACCGTTGCTTTTGATTTTTGAAAAAAAAAAAAAATTGCATCTTTTAAACTTTGGGAAATCAAGAAAATATCAATTATTGTTGCTCCAGATGAATCAATTGTCACCACATATTCTAGTAGCCTAGTAGGGGTAAGTCCATTTAAAGAATAACGAAATTATCGATATCCTCAATCCTAGTGAAACAGATATGAAAACTTGCCTCGTTCCACCCTAAAGTTACATGCTCCCCTCCAGAGAGTCCAGAACCTGAGAAGTCCAAGGTGAAAACTGTAATGTTTAAGGGCAACAATATTATAGCAGCTTCACTGGCATCTGCCCTGCACCCACTGGTATACAGTTGACATCACATGAACTAAAGTCAGTATAAAGTTGACATGACAAGAACACTTAAGAGCCTATGCCCTCTGATAATTTCAAAACATGGCAACATAACAATTATAAGATCACTAATTAAATAATAAAGTAAAGACCAGGAGAATTTCATAAAGTACAAGTGCCTCATTATTCAAGAAAAATTCCAGCCTAAAAATTGTTACTTCATATTATTTATATTGTGACATACGTCCCTCCGTTCCATAAAGTTCTTCCCATTTAGTGTAGCTCCACATTGGAAAAATCTACATAGTGTGAGTACTTGTGAAGTCGTGAGTACTTTTTGAGAAGAGAGGAGTAAAATAAGAAAACTAGCCCTAAAAAATAGGACAAATGGGGTTATATATTAGTATTTCTTTGACAAAAAGTAAATAAAATGAAAGTAGGAAAATCTTCATGGAACAACCCAAAACAAATGGGAAAACTACACCAAACAAAGAGAGTTAATGGTTTGATTAAAGATTAAAAATTATAAATTATAAAAATAAAAATAAAAATATAAAAACATTACAAAGGAAGAAACTACTTTTTACAATGTAACAGACTGTCTTACTTAAGCACAAATTAAAGCATAAGCCCAAACTAGATTCCTAAAGTTAAGAAAAAAAAATTACGAAGTTAAAATCATCTAAGCTTATTGCTTCAATAAATAAAAAGGCAAAATTGGCCTCAACATCACCAACTATGGCCTATGGATTGGGTGCAGCCATCAGGACAACCTTAAGTGGGTTTCGCGGAGGTGGCATGGGTTTTTTGGATGTGTGGAGGGGGGGGGTTTCGGGGAGGTGGTCTGAGTTTTTGGGGTGGTGGTCTGGGTTTTCGAGGTGGGTAGGGGTTTCATGGGGGTTTTCAGGGTGGGGTTTCCAGGGTGGTGGTGTGGGGTTTTCAGGGTGGTGGAGTGGGGTTTTTGGGGTGGCAGTAGCGGTTATGGTGGCTTAGGTGGTGACGCTTGGTGTTGGTGTGGTGTTAGCTAAGGGGTAGTTAGTAATTAAATTAATTTTAGTCAAAAAAATTAACCATAAAGTAATAGATTAACTCATTTAGTGGATTATGTGCAGTACATAGAGGTAATCAAATGTAGAAGGCCAGTAGAAACTATGGCCAAAAAAAGTTTCCACCAGATAGAAAATCCAAATCTATAAGGCCACCATGATTAAACCAAAATAACGAGGACATGGACTTGAATCAAATTCGCTTCAGAAAATTCTCAACGCCTAAGTAGAAGTATATGGTGTTAAAATAGGGTATAATTGTCGTGAAGGGCTATATAGAACATAGGTCAACAACAATAAGGTGTTTCTCTTGAGGTCTTTTGTGTAGTTTTAAGGTTTATAGACAAGCACAATTGTTGTTGAAAAATATTACAAAGGAGCATATTGAAGTATAGTAACCCATTTGATGTTTGCAAGCTCTGCATGCATACTATATTTTTTTTGGCTTCTTTATTTGTCATGTTGGGCCCCGCGCATAAACCTGTGAATAGGTTATTTTATTGTTGGATTGAGGTTTGTTGTAAAAGAGTTTTGTATTAGGATGATGTGGCATAGGAAAAAACATCCTTGAGGTTTGATCTAATGCTATTGCTCTTAGATAAACACATTAAGAATTGATAATTTAGGAAGTTTTACAAGTCCTATTGTTGATCATTTTAAGTTGTAGACCACATGTTTCTTAGATCTCAAATTTCCATATATGAAGTGGAAGGACAAAAAAAAAAAAGATACTTGTATAGCATCTCCTAAAAGTAACATACATTTCATTAAATTCTCTTTATATTAATGAGTATGTTTCAAATATAACATGCATTGCTAATATAGATACCAAGTCCATAAAACATCTGTTGTGGTGGAAGAAAAGGAAGACAGTAAGAAACATAGTCATTTATCAAAATAAACACAAAAAAATCCAGTTTAAGCTACAAAATGTAACAGGTCATAAAACTTTGTATCCAGATAACAGTAAGGGATCAGATCATTGCAACTCCCAATCTATCAAGTTTCAGACATGTCTATGAACATCAAAGTGCACACAAAATAAAACATAGATTACTACTTTACAAAATACAGTAGATAAACTCTAAATACGTATTCCAACTGACCTGTTGCCATGGCAATAAATAACACAAGGTAGAAGCTTCCCATCAGGTTTCACAAGGGGAGCGTAATGACTGCATTGAAGAACATCCCCGCGGCTATTCTTAATCTGCAAATGAAGATAGACATTGTTTAGCCTAGTTGAAATCAGAACAGCGGCTGCTATTCAGGTTATGTACTTGTGCAGTGGTCATTGCAACGCACAACAAAGACAACACATTTTTTGAGCACTTATGTACAAGATTATGAGGGTTTCCTCAAATTTCTAGGCAAGTCCCAAAACATTTTGATTTACAAAATAATACCCACATTACCGTCAACGGAAAATGGAATTAGGGACCATAATTTTTCTTGGTGAAAAAAAAAAAAAAAAAAAACCACCAACACCTTTGCAATATTCAATTCAAAATGTCACGCCATTACTAGAATTGAACGGTTAAAACGTCATAAACCAGTTACAGAAATAGGAACCTCCCCAGTCAGATCCTACATGGCTGGTATTGTAGTAATACTTTTGTAGACCATAGAAAAATTCCCTAGTGTAGCAATATCTAGGGATATCTTCTTTTTTTTTTTTTTTTTTTTTTTTTTGAGCTATTCCATGGGATTTAGGTGTAAATCAAGCTATGATATGTAACGTTCTTTTAGTAATTAAAAATTAACATCATTAAAATTACTAAAAGGCTAAACATATCACTAAGAAGACAATGAATCCTAAGTAAGCTAATGCACATAGATAGTGCTTCAATCAATACATAGCACTTATACCTAGGCCAGAAATTACTCAAATGAAGACAACACCACATGATAGCAAGAAACGCCACCTTTTAGATTCCCAACTAGAAGTTTGCCTCAAAACTCCGCTCATACTTTCCATCCACAACAATCAGGGGTCAACTTCAAGTAGGCAAGCTGCTCATCATGAAGTTGCACCATGCAAGTTATTATTTCTTTAGAGAGAGAGAGGAGGGGGGAGGCTTCTGTTTAGGTCCTTGTCACTGACTAATAGATTTTTAACTTGTCCGATTTGCAGCTTTGATTGGCTCGATGTATCTAGTTCTTTAACACTTAATGTCACCAGTTCATTCAAACAAATAGTACAATATAAGCATCATTAATGACATACATCAAAAGATTACCTCAACATCCTTCCTCTGGTACCACTTTCCTTTTAGCATAAACTCTTGATCTAATAGGTCATGCTCAGGGCTATATTCAGCTCTGCATCAAAGTTAAGCAAGTTATATGTTGCACAAATTTTTGTTCATGCTACCAAGCACATATAGATATTTATAGAGCACAAACTTTCTAGCACACAGATCTACTTCAGTTTTGTGGTTAAGTTCCATAACAAATGTTTAGTGGATATTTACTATACACTTGATCAAGTTCCACAGTCCACACTATGTGTCTTTGTACAACCAGTACAGCTAAAAATTATATGCTTCAGCACTCTAATAGCTTTTTTCTGGACTCACTCTACCTCTTCCCTTTCACACGACAGCTGTTGCATTCTCTTTCCTCATCCTCACTCTTCCTCTCTCCACTCACCCATCGAAAATCTAATTACTTGTATTCATAAACATGTTGTTGCTTTTAAATTTTGCAAGTCTTAAATTTGATATTGATGCATCAAAGATTCACTTTAAAATGACTCTTTGAAATGTGTGTTCCTTGTACATTACGATGTAGAAAAAGATTGTTTGAATTCAAATCAAGGGTCGGACAACGCTCCTCGTCCCTTAATCTCTTACTTGTATATTTTAGCTTGTTGGTTTCAGCAAATATGTTTAAAAACAGTAAACAAATGCACCCTCACTAGATATCATACATGTGTAATAAATGGGTATAGAACAAAAACCCACCATCCCCTCAGATAATTCATAGTAATCTTTTCAATAATACTCGCACATACTCCTTGATTAAGATGCAATAGGAGTAGAAAGTAGTAGTGCACAAAAGCACATTGTCAACAAGCTATATTGGATCCATTCACCTATTTTAACATTGGATTACATAATGTAAAAAAGACCATTTCAGGGTTTTAAGTATTTTTCATGCTTTCCCCGATCACGTGGATTTCCTGATTTATACAAGAGGATCCTAACAAGCCTTCAGCATGTATCTTCACTATTCAATACAATCCTCCTAGAAATTATTTGTATACTTCAGGCTAGTAATCCAATATCGACCACACTTAGAACAAGAGCAATTCAATTATTATTGCAATATGTAAGCCAAAGATTTACAACATTATCAAGGTAGATTTCATTAATTCTTACCAAAAGTTCAGCTTCCCTGCTTAAATTGCATTCTCATTCATCAATATTCATCTGATTGTTCCTAGCTAATAGACGAAATCAATCAATGTTTAATTACTTGTTTCTACCTAATCAGTAAAGTGTTCTGAATAATTAGTTTCTGTGAATTAATCGAAACTTAAAATGGGAAAAAATATCAAATTAAACAAGCAAATCTAATCAATACAAAAATTTTCCAATAATTACTTAACTAAAACAGAAAAAGAAAGTAATATAATACTTCGTAACATACCTTGGCGGCCGAATAATAAAGTTCACGAGTTGTTCCATAGTTCATCAACTATGGAAACAAAATCTTTCCCAACTTCAATTCACCTGCAAAATCAAATTTCCAACACTAATTAGTCAACATGATCGCAATAAAATAACAAGAAAATTATTATCCTATAAACTAATCAATTAATCAAACCTAAAAAATTGAATAAGATTCTTGCAGGTAAATTTGGGGGAAATTAGGTTGATAATCAATTCGATTGAGCAAAATTGCAGAAATCAGAGATCCGACAAAGAAGAAGGAACGCCGATTGCCGCCGCCATAGAATCGCCGGTAGAAGGTAATTGACGATGTGATGATTTTCTCTCTCCTTAGACCGCGTCGTTGATGCTTCGGAAACCGGAAAAGGCAGAGTCGTTGGAATTTTTTTTTTTTTTTGTTTTTTGGATTTTCTGATGAGGAGATGAACACCGAACACTTGAAGTCGTAGATCTGTGTGTTGAGAAAGTGGGACCGAGGTCATGTAAGTTGTACTCGAGACCAGGTGCAAAGTGCCAAAGTGCAATTGTTCTTTTAGCGTCGAGTAGGATTGGGGAAACCCAACCGCAACTTGCTCGTATTTTGTCAAGAGTGAATTAGAGTAGGTAAATGAGCGACTTTATCAATATTAAAATAATTTTTTATCACTAAAAGTAAAATGAAAAATTAGGCATTACGTATATAAATTATTTTGATTACTTTGTTCGTTTACATTATAATTCGTATAATTTCTTTTTCAAAGTGCGTGTTATTGAGTTGTGTTGCAAATAAAAGAGAACGAAGGAAGTATGATGAGACAATTATTTTGAAAAAATATATGGATAATTGATTAATTGGACGTAATTTATTTAGATGGTGTGGCTCAGTGCACTATGTGTTCATGGTAGATCATAATGTATTAGTTTTTATGATGAAATGGGTGTCAATTAACAAGTTATTAATAATTTTTAGGGTGCAACTTGTAATTTTTACTTTAAAGGACTACAATTGACAAATTAGATATTTTAAATAGCTGCATTTAGCAAATTTTTCTAAGACATTCTACTCATGGTATGATATTATAACATGCCATTTAGAAATGGTAATGGTAGTGTGCAATGTATTCTTGAATTGAAAATTAAAAGTTGGCCAAACAAGGGTAATTTAAGAATTAGAAACACATTTTTCATTGGGTCCTACCCAAAATAGTTTCTAAGAAGGGTAAAAGGAGAAGAACCAAACTGTATCTTCTCTTTACAATTTCTTAGGGAACTCAACTCTTTCCCTCATTTAATGATTTCGTTTTGTGACAAAAATACCCTCTATATTTTAATTACAAATTGATATCTAATATTTCCATAATAGAAAAAAGGATTGCATTTTCTTTGTCATAAACAAACCTAATACTTTTCTCATCAAGTCGACACTCACAACCTAACCCTTTCTCATCCTTCACCTACACCAAATTGTCATCACCAAAATGCAATCGAGACCTCCCCGACCGCTAGTATCGCCTTTCCATCCATCCAAAAGGACATAATTAATTAAGTAGCGATATAAGTATAGGGTAAATGTGTAACATATGCAAATAGTCTCTTTTTCTGAGTAGAAGTGCCTTAATTTCTTCCGCTCATGCACCATACAACTGGTTATATTCTATAAGGTAGGGAAATTGTGAGCAAACTAATTTATATAAAATTTGAGTAAAAAATTATGCTTATTGGAAAATGGGAGACTTTCTTTGAGTCAACTTTTTTGAATTATTATTGCACTTTTTTTTTAATTTGGGTTGAAAATTTTGATATTATTGTTTTTTGTATATTCATGTTCAATGTTTAGATGGAAAGGAAGGAAGAAGAATAAGGACTTGAAGTTATTCTTTTTTGACAAATGTGAAAAAAATTATCTATCTTCTACAAATTTGCAAAAACATCTAAAAAAAATCATAAATTTATAGTACCTCAAAACTCTCAATTAGCTATTGAATTTCACAATACTGATAGAAATTAACAACAAAAATAAGGAACAAAAAATTATAAGAGATGAAAGTATATAATATTCAAAACTTCAACCTAAAGTATGAAATTTATTTCTGACCATACACACTTGGTGGATAAAGTTTGATAGTATAAAAGGCAATAGAAAATGATTCTAAAGAATGTAGAGGACAACATTATATAAAATATAAATCTTATGAATTTAGAGTGAATATGGGTATTGAAAATTTAGAGAAAGAAATTAAGTTTTATGAATTAAGAGAGAAAAATATGTCTTATTAATTTTAGGCCTTGTTCACCTTAAAAAAAATATTCAGTAAAATTAATTTCAATTCAGTAAAATAATTTTAGTTCAATTTAAAAATTAAAAAAAAATTAAGTCTTATTAATTTTAGATCCTGTTCACTTCACCTTACAAAAATAATATTCAGTAAAATTAATTTCAATTTAGTAAAAATAAGTCTAGTTCAGTTAAAAAAAAATAAAAAGTCCAATTCAGTAAAAATAATTTCAGTTCAGTGAAAATAATTTCAATTCAGTAAATATCAGTGACTTTAAAGAATAAATAGAATAGAGAATCAGTAAAAAAAAAAAAAATCATCTTAGCAAAAATAATTTAAGTTCAGTAAAATTAAAGTTTAGCAAAAATAATTTCAATTAAGTAAAAATAATTTCAGTTCAGCAACAATAAGGTGAAGTGAACAAGGCCTTAGAGAGTGAAAAGAGAAAATAGGTCTAAATTAGACGGGTATAGGTCAGGTCATTTCGGGTTGTGTCAAGTTTCAGGCCAATAAATAATTAGGTCGGGTTCGGGTCATGTCGTCGATTTTGAGTCAACAGATAATCTGGTCAGGTTAGGTTTCGAATCAGCACTTCGAGTTGAGTTTGAGTAAATTTTGGTCGGGTCAATTTGGGCCGGATCAATTTAGGTCGAGTCAATTTTCGGGTCCAAACGTTGGGTCATGTTCATATTATGTCAAATTCAGGTGGTCATATTCAATTCGGGTAATGTTTGTGTCAAATTCAAATCGGTAAATTTATTAATAATATTATTATAATTATTTGTGTTTGTAGACACCTAAAAATGTCTCCCTAAATAAAGCCCGATGACGAAACAACCTACATTTCCTAATTTGGTCCGGTTCGCGTAATGGTTTTAAGAATTACTTGAATAGTCCTTTTGTTCACGTACAAGAATCTGCTAATGAGGTTATTAAATTGGTCATAAATTATAATCTAAAAACTAAAGAAAAATTCTCAATGGTGATCCTCAATTGGTGAGACACAAAAATGGTGACCCCCTCGAAATTTTATTATACAAATTAAAATGACCGTATTTTAGAATTTTATACCACTTATTATAACCTTAATTTCATAAATAGTTAATTAAAATCAACTATAGTTAGATTTATATTAGAAAAAGAAAAACTAAAAAAAAAAAAAAAAAAAAAAAAAAAACTAACCTAACCACTGCACACCCACCACCACCTCCACTCCCACTACATACCCAACCACCCTCTCCCCTTCCCCCTTCAATGTCGATGCCCAAGCTTCCCCCCTACCGGTGACCCTACCCTGATACTCCAACCTCCACCCTAACCTTTTCCTCTATCCCAATACCCACCCCCTCCGATTTTCCCTACACTACCACCGCCCACTCAAAACTCCAAACTCCAAAACCTCAACCACCACTCATCCCTCTCTGTCCTCTGACCATGACCACTGCATAGAACGCCAAACCCATGACCCACCCTCTCTTTCTCCTCTGCGCAGACCGAAACCCAAACCCATGACCATCCCTCTATCTCCTCCGCCCAAACCCAAACCACTTGCCAAAACCCTAACCACCTCAGTTAAGGTTTCGATTGAGGTGGGGTGGATGGGGTTAGGGTTTCGATAGGGTGGATAGGGTTAGGGTTTTGGTGGGGTTAACGTGGTGAGGGTGCTAGGTTGGTGGTTTTTTTTTTTTTTTTTTTTTAGAATAAATTTACCCATACTTAATTTTAATCAATCATTTATGAAAATAAGGATAAGTGGGAAAAAAAATTCTTAAATAGGGTCATTTTGTATAAAAAAAAATTTCGAGGGGGTCACCATTTTAGTGTCTCACAAATTAAGGGTCACCATTGATAATTTTCCAAAATTTGAAATCTTGATTCTATATATCCGGCCTAATTGGGTTTTGTCATTTTCAAGTAGAATTAGAGTTTCATTTATTATTGCAATTGTTATTATTTCAAATTAATTGTGATAGTTCGACTTTAGGATCCTCCTATTTTGCTTCACTAGCATTAACAGTTAATGCTACCATAATAAATTTCTACATTACCATTATGAATGTATAGAGTGATAAATTGGTCGTTTGGTTGATTCCAAAAACAAGATGCATTTATGTAATGCTGATGATGTGCTTAAGGTTCTTATTTGATAATAGCATAGAAGTTTAGACACCTAATCGCGTCTACCAAGTTAACATTTTATGAATGAAATGTACGTTATTGTGTATAATTTGGTCCAAGTTGCAAAGTAGACTGCTTGAATTCCCTCACTATCCTAGTCCTTTAGCCTTTAAAACCTAGAAAGCCTTTGTAGGGAATTTTTCACTCTGCCCTACATGTGAGTCATGTTTTTAAGCATGGCGGCGTTCCAAGTAAAAGAAGCTAGAGAAAAAGAGTCGCCAACAAGTTTTAGGAACTTATAAACCGTTCATGATTATGGAGTTTACACCCCATTCACAATCACAGAGCTTGCTAACTCCATAGTGGTTCGGAATCATGACTGGATGTTCGAGAATGATGGTACGAATTCAACTTTCAAAGAGGACAAACCCGACCTAAAATAGGCCTATACTAAATTCTTATTGATATTCATGCACGCTTTTCGATCAACATACATATATCAAATTAATCCTAAACCTGTTTAATCTATATTGGTTGATTATTAATGCACAATTAAATCTAATACTTGTGATCACTTGAATTAAAATCATGTTAAACCTAAATCCAATTATTAATTATCTTATTAGGAGTGATTTCAATTACAAATTCCCTTTATACCTGCGAAAAGAGACGTGATCAAACAATAAATCACCGACAATCAAACAACATATAATTAACATCATAATCATCATCATGAAAAAATTGTTAGTAGTAAGATCCTAGGCATAATACTAGACAGATTAATAACAATCCTAGCATATTACTAAATAATTAAAAATATTATCCTAAACATGAAGCTAGTAATCAAAGCAATAAAAATAATTAGAGTAAATAAAACAAAGAATTAAATACTCACTCTAAATGTGCAACTTTGAATACTACATCATGAGTAAATTGTTAGTAACTTCAATAAAAATAATATTTCGCAAGAATTAAATTAAAGAGTTAGTTAGAGAAATTAATATCGCCCTCCAAATTATACCTTCACGCCTTGGTAAAAAAGGTAGAACCTTCGGATCTTGTTTTGGACTCTAAATTACTTGAATAAGATTAGAAATAGGAAAAATTGTCAGGAATAATCCCACCTTTGGGGCGTCCGCTAAAAATTATCCCACATTTGGGTTATTTTTAAATAATCCGACCTTTATACCTAATCTG